TTTCTTTTTGCTTATGTGGTGCTGAGGAATGGAACCCAGGGCCTCATGCATGCAAGGCAAGCGCTCTACCACTGAGCCACCTTCCCAGCGCTCCCCCACTTTTTCTATATAACAACAGCTGACACTGCTGTGCACCAGGCTCATAAACCCTAGTGTTCCTAGATCATTTATGTGTACGGGTAAAGAATCTAAGATGTTGCATCTCTTGGAACTTGTACTGAGATGCCCACCTGGGTGGTGGAGTCCACTCAGCAGATTCAGCCCCAGTACTGGGCTTCAGGAATTTGAGGATGTCTGCACTGTCCCTTCGCATGCCATCTTCTCTTTCTCTGCCAAAGGAACAAAGAACCAAAACCATTTGGGGAAGAGGTGGCTCAGTTGTCCAGCCCATCCTTCCCCAAGGTCTTACACAGTCCTGACCATTTCCCCCTAGTCCTCACACTTGCTCCCAAATCCTACTTCCTTGAGATTATCCCTGTGTCCTGATCCTGAACAGTTGCACTTGTAAGAGTAAGAGGAGGACTTTGGGATAGGATATTTCCATTATTAGGAGGAACAGAGCTGAGAACCAACTCAGGCCTGGGAAGGGGATGGTCCTTGTCAAGAGCTCAAGGTCTCACCCTCACTCTGCCCCTGCCCAGGGCTTCCTGGGCAAAGAGTTGGTTGGATTAACCTCTTGAGATACCTTAGTGACACCCATCCCCCAGAGATCACCTGGTGTTAGTTTAGGCCCAGACACAATGCTCTCTGTGGACTTGTGATAGGTCCCCAGTCTTTAAAGAACAAGGGGCTGGACCTGTGATTTGGGTCCCAGAAGGGACCAAATCAGGGTGGGGCTGTGAGGAGGTTGGAGGGCTCAGAAGAAAGGAAGGCTCACCTGGTGACCATCACAGTGCTGAGTCACCACAGATCAAAAGGAATAGGCAAGATGAGATGTGATTGGTATGCATCTATAATCCCAGCTAGTTGGGAGTCAGAGATTTGAAGGATTGTGGTTTGAGGCCAGCCTGGGGCGGGAGGGGGAGCAGATAGTGAAACTACATCTCAATCAATAAGCCATAGATGCTGGAATATGCCTTTGATCCTAGCTATAAGTGTAAAGTACTTCCTATTCTGTCTCAGAGGGTTTCTGAAGCTCTTGCAGAGTCTGAGCCAGCACAGTTAGAGACTTTGACCATCCCTCTTTCTTTCCATTCTCACCCCTTCTCAACTATCAGACAAGCTGCTTAACTGAGGACAGTTTTTTTTCCTGCCCACCCCTGCAGGTTGCCCCCTGACTCCTTAACACTTCCTAATTCTCTCCTTTGGGACAGGTGAAGAACTCAGCTCTGGGATGCACCTTGGACCACTTTGGGAGGATGGTAGCTAGAATCCTTCCTAAATAAAATGCCTCACACACCCCCTCCACTGGCCTTGCAGCCTCTGTGGGACTTGTCCGGGTGCCTGGGCAAGCAGGCACTAGATTAGCACTCTCTGGTCCCAAGCTTGTTTGTCCTCATCTGGAAACTGAAGATGACATCGCACTGCCAGTCCCTCTGGTTATAACTTGTAAGGTGAGCATTAATACGTGCGTCAGCACACAGAGATGCTCAACCATCTATTTTATGGTTGGCTCCTCTGCCTTTAGCTCAATGAGCCAACACCACTGACTGCGAAAAGATCACCTTGGGCCCCTACCCACCAAGTTCCTCCTCTCTAGAGTCCTTTGAGTAGAGTTGTGACTAAAAGAAGTAGGAGGGAGGTTCATCCACAAATTCTGACTGCAGCTTATCCTAACGTAGAAATTCTTACCTTTGGAATTATTGACATAAGGGGCTGGAGCATTCTTTCTGTGGAAGCTTTTTAAGTATTACAGGATGTTTAGCAGCACCCATCTTTGGCCTTCACCCACTAGATGCAGTAGCACCCATCTCTAAAGTGTGACAAGGTTGCATGATGACTCACACCTGTAATCCTAGCTACTCAGGAGGCTGACATCTGAGGATCACAGTTCAAAGCCAGGCC